AATGGCCCCTATTGAGGAGCAAGGGTTGGGCGCAGATCCGCCGATGATGGATGCCGACGCTGCCGAATTATTGCAGCGCACGGCGAACATGACGATGCGAGAATACATACACCACCTTGGGAGTCTTGGCGTGATAATCGTGGACGAAACGGCTTCTCAGTTTCTTGCGCAGTACGAATACGCGCGCTTCTCCAACCGGCCTATATCTAACGAACAGTTCCGGTCCCTGATGCACCTGTTTGCTGAGATATTAAGGGGTGTGCAACCGTTGGATCTCGGTTTTCTGAACTCTCCGGAAGATGCAAGCTACGGATGGGGGCCCTCGGAAAGTGACATTGATAACGACGCGCCACTGGATACAAACCCGCCTTCTCCGCGAAGCAGTATATCTCGTGCTGGGACAACAAGCACGCACAACTCTGTGCGCCGACCGCCCTTGCGAACCCACTCAGCACAGGCGCGGAGTTTCCGAAGTGCCCCTACTACACCAGGTAGTAGAACGGCTGTACTGTCTCATAAATCGAGTGAGCATAGCTTTGCCCAGACGAGACGACAGTACCCCGTCAGTCAACCGTCGAGCTCGAGTCTGAGATCCAAGGCTGCGAGCGCCGTGAGTAGCAGCGATTCGGGATCCGTCATCCGTCTTGCTACCAGGGAAGATGATGAGCAGCTTCCGTATGTGCTAAATCTGAGACCAACGACGGGCAGTTGATGATGGGACCAGGTGCGGGTTTCTTGTACAAATTACTTTTTTGGACAAATGACGATAAAACGATGTTATATACAGGCGTGGTTGCATATTCTCAGGGTAAAAATATAAGATAATAGACATACTTGTGTATTTTTGCACATCAAAGCTGGCATATGTCGGAGAGGTTCTGCAGGGTATCTCGTAGGATGCAACGTTTTGTTGAACAGGGTTGACCCTGTACAACAGTGCGAATTTTGCTTTGCGTATTCTATTTTGACTACAAGCCAATATTTTAATATTTCATTTCTGTTGTAGCATATTGACGCTCATCACCGTGTGCGTTGGCACCTGCCTACTTTAGGCAAGCTGTACTTGCGCCGCGCAAACATGCAAGCTATCAGACAGCTTTATCCGCAGTGCTATCTGTTATCCACTATCTGTCGACCTGGTTGCCCCACCTAACTTGACCCTTTTTTGAACCTCCAACTTGCCGCCTCGCATGGTCATGTACTCGACTTCCGTCTTTGCAAGCAAACCCCAATTGAAGCTGCAAACCGCGCCCTGCGCATTCTCAAACCTCCCGCCTCTACTGCATCCAGACACCCCGCTTATGATAAATACCGGGCGGCAGCAAACATGCCAGACAAGCCGCCACCGCTGCCCGTGGCTGCTGACCGCCTTGCCATATCCAACCGCCTGTCCATGCTGTTCGCGGACCGCTCAGCACTCATAAAGAAGCTGGTTTCGCAGTCCTCGACAACCCGCAACCCCAGCCGCCGCGCCCGCCCCCTAGACGACGACGACGTCTTGTTCGGGACCCCCGCGAACCAGGGCGTGGGATACGTCTCGGAAAAGCCAACCAGGGACACGAAGCGAGAAGACAAGATGCTGCGGGGCAAAATGCTAGGCAAGAGAAGGGCCGGCACGTCGGAGGCCAGATCGAAAGCGGAAGAGAGCGAGAGCGACGACGAGCAAGGGAGGGGGTCGCTGGGGAAGAGGAAGCGTCCGAGGAGGGCGAGGGCGAGGGCGGATGAGCCTGCCGAGGCGGGGAACGGCACTGGTGATGGGCAGGACGCGGTCGCCGAGGCTGAGAATTACGCTGCGACGGAGGCGCGGGAGAGCTCGCCGCAGATGCAAGATGCTCCGCCGAAGAAGAAGAAGAAGAAGAGGAAGAGGAAGAACAAAGGGCAAGAATAAAGGCAGCGGAAGTGGGGGGTAGAGTTGATTCTTCTGTATGGAGATTCTTGGTACAAGAAACCGGCTACAGTCACAGTTACTTTGGGCATATATTGATCGGAAGCAAGCGACGGGCGTTTTGAAACAGTTTGGTTCTGATGATTTACACAGTTTACAACAAGGCAGTAGCAGGCATCCGTGGATACCATGCATAGACGCAAGCGCAACATAACACTACAGCCACCTGTTCTTGCAAATTCGTATCCGCCATTCAATGCATTTTTTAGTGGTATGGTATCTGTCACTCCTAGTGTCATCCCGATCACGAATACGCCAGTTCCCTATGCACAATATTCCACTACTTTGTACTCTCATATTCAAAATCCCGCGGAGATTATACCCATGACAATGACTTGTCCTTGCACCAATTATCCCTTGACCTTCCCGCCGGTTAATATTGTTCCGCATCGTGCCACACAAAATACATGTGCAGGTTCCAGCAAACCTCTGCACAAGACGCCCAAGAAACGAAGCACAACATGCGCTCCTTCCAGCAAGGTGTAGTTGGCAGACAATATAAGACTGACACACTTTGTATCTCGCTGAGTAGCTGTAAGATGAACGCCCCCAAAACATACAGAACTAGTATTTTCGTCACGCTTCGTCGTTCCTTCAGATCCTAGGATCAACAAATTTTTTTTAAAAGTGAAAAAAAAAAAGCGTCTCATCCAGAATATCGCTCAAAAAAGACTGGATTGGTGGCAACTTTGTAAACTCGCACCACTGCGTTGGCGGATTAACAAGATATTCACTTTTGATACCCGCAGTTGTAACATCACTGCATTCGTTTTCGTTTTCTATCATCATCACCACGTGGATCTTCGTCCTCATCTGACCTCTCAGCTGTGTCACTTGGGTTCAAGATGTGCGCCATGCTGCCTCTTCTGGTCGGAGGCGCCGATGAATCTTTAAATAGGGGTCCCTTGGTGTCCCTATTGCCTGCCGAATTCCAGGACCAACCACCAAATGCATCTGCCCCATTGCTACTGCCATTGGCAGGTGCATGAGGGGGTGGGGGAGTGGTGGGTCGAGAATGCGGATGAGAATGTGAAGCCGTCTGCAGCGAGTATGTCGATAACGATTCTCTGATACGCTGGTCCTCTGGAGCTACTCTTCCAGGTGACGACGGCCATGGGCCGGGAGGCGCGTTAGATGCTGAGAAGGGGGAGGGTCCAGGTTGCCATCCATGCGCGCGAATGTCAGCAGCAGTGTGTCTTCGAGCCAGGTTGCCAGGTGGTGTTTCCACGTTTGAAAGGGGATGCGGACCCGAAGGGGGCGGAGCCGCAGCATTGCGGAGAGGCGAGGATTGTGTAGTGCTGCTGCCACCAATTGAGCCGTATGGACGTCGCGCTCCGAGTGTAAGAGACGATGGTACACCAGGCCGATATAGGGGCTGCCCTCGGGCCTGGGACTGCGGTACTGCTAGTCCACCAGCTGGTCGTCTGGAATCATCTTGTGGCAATTGCCTTGGCGACACCGGAGCGTTGTCGACGTTGCTGAAGTATTGCTGCCGACCCACAAATGGCACATCTTGAGGCTCGTCAACTGTCCGAATCATATCGGCCTGTCGTTGTATCTCTCCTTGCAGACTCATCACTAAAAATAGGTTAAGCGTCAGTATTGTTTTAGATAGATGAGATACCTGTAGCAGGTAGAATGGCAGCGGAGTTGGAGAGATGATCGAAGGCTGCCCAATATGATTGCTGAAGCCACTTACCATCTCGGTGAATTGTACTCTCCAGCGGCACTAGCGACAACATGGCCCGAGTCAATTCTTGGTTGAAATGCAGCAATCGTCCCATAGTTTCCATCACAGTCTGATTTTTCACGTGCATGTAATGAGCGGTTTCTTCGCTTCGTTGTAATCGTGCGCTTACGTCGTAGAGGGTGTGCTCTAGATTTGCAAGTCTCGCGTCGATGCTCTCCGGGGGGACTTGAACAGGCTCAGCAGGTGTACCGGGTTGCGAAGAGCCAGGTTTCGTGAAATTGGTCTCGCGATGAACTAGAGCATGACGACTAGCTCGTCGCTTGATATCACGCAATCCAGCTATATCACCTCTCTTAAAACTGCCATTGCCATGTTTAAACTCCCACAATGTGGTATCCGGATTGCCGGTGTGGAAGACATCTCGTTCTAGGATTATTGTTAGTGTTTTAAAGCCATGGTTCTAGATATGGAATGAGCTCTCAATCAAGTACCCTTATGAAACCCATACATATTGAGCTGGCGAACAAATGACGAAATATTGGTGTGTTTGAAATATTGTCTACATTGCGATCAGCGGGCGTATAATCGGTCATCTCGAGACGGTCACGACATACGACAAGACTTTGGAAAAATCAGCAGTTGGCGACATGACAAAGCTCTCCGCATTCGAAGACCACGATATCAAGTGCTGAATACTAGAATCTTCCAGCATGCTGCAAAACCCCGTCAGTGACACGTCCCATTGGAATCATTTGTGGCAAAGGTTCGCAATCTCACTTATACAGCTTGTGGATAAAGGCAGTTTGTACAATCTTCGGCTGGTGGACGGCAGATGAGGCAACTGTCGGCGGCGCAGGCATGTTGGATGAAGAGTCGGCAGGGTTTCGGTCATTGCTGGGAAGTTGGTTCGGTCGATTGCTCAGCTTGCCATTGGTCTCATGGTCGGCTACATGGCTCGGAGCAGAAGCGGTAGGAGAAGAAGTGATGTCCATGGCGTCGGGGGCAGATGTGGATGCGGATGTGGACATGGTGACGGCCAGCGCGGGGACGGGAACAACGCGAGTACCCATTGACCCCTCTAGTTCGTCTGTCGGCGGTTACTTTTGCGCGTGTTGGAGGAAGCCCAGTCGTGGCTATTCCTTTCGGCTACGGCGATTGACGCGTTAGCACGACAGACGGCCAAACGAAGCAAATCTCGCACCTAGCTTGCGCTTGCGAAACTCGACTGAAGCACGGGTCATCTGGCGGGGGAAGCGGGCCAGCTCACCTCATCTCCACCGAGAACGGCGACCGGGCCAGTGCAGCGGTATTGAACAAGAGATGCAGATGGGAGCCAGTGTTGAAAAACGGCAGCCCAGGTTCGAAATGGACAGCAGTGGCAGCTTCGCAAGTGATGGTCACGGCGGACGGAGAATGCGCCGCGCGGCGAAAGGAGGCTGTCGAAGAAGTCGTGGATCCCGGTGTCAGTGGGAGCTATCGACTTCGGCTGTCGCGCGACGTCGCAAAGAGATGGAACCGCTGGATGCGCCGGGCGCCGATGCGGTCGACGATGATGCGGTCGACGCAATGGGCGCGCCGAGAAGGAGGCGAGTGTCTGAGGTTCTGGTACTTTTGGAAGCTCCCACGAAAGCTCTAGAGTCGCGAGGAGGCCAAGTCTCAGGACCGGAGTTGATGGAGGTTGGTTGTTGGTTGGGAGAAGACTGGAGGAGGAGGACACATGCAGGACCTTGGGAAGCAGCTAGCGTCAACTGGTCCGATACTCTGGACAACGTACGGAGGACCGCGTGCTGCGTTCCTCTAGGCCAGATAAGGCATCTGTCGAGGAAGGTGCAGTCCAAAAATGGCGCCTGGGGTGCTCCGTACCTAGAGTCAGCTTAAGAGGAACTCCACCGCCTCTAGAACTCGGAGGCGACGAGGGCGGCAGTACTCCGTACCTGGGCAAAAACGAAGGTATCGGGGCACGTCTGTGGCCTGGGCAAGATACTCGGGCTGTGCACCAGGTACGGGGTACGTACCAAGTTGTGCAAGTAGTACTGCGCCTAGACGGTGGGAGTGGAAGGAGCCGCTAAGGATTTCAAAGTGCTCCACGGAACATTAAATTCATATCGACTGCAGCTATTGCTTACGATACCTACTACTTAAGTAGGTAGTAGAAATGCCTGGACGTGCGGTCTGGTGGGATTGACAGTTCTCCGGGTACAGGCGTAGTAGGTAGCTGTGGGGAGGGTTTGGGAGAGCACCTGCTCCCAGCCAGCTGTAATATCAATGTATTACTGTCTGTTCAATGTTGAGGAAAAAATATGAGCAAGGCACCCGTTTAAGGTGTGCCTTCCTTGGCCAGCAGCAGCCAGTAGTAGCGCCGGGACATTGGCCCCGTTGAAGCTTCCAGATGCTAGATTGCGTTGCCCTAGTCCGCCCAACACCCCCGAGCTACACCATGAGATGTGGAGGCCCGGACGACCAACAATCTGCAGGAGATGCAGCTTGGCAGTCGAAATTAGTGATGCACCAACGTCAGCAGCGTCCATGTCAAAAAATTCAAGGCACGAAAGGGTCCAATGTTATGGGCCACGAGTCCACGACCCATGGCAACTGCGTTTCCAATCGTCTTCGTATTTTGTTACAGAGAAGCCCCCAGACGAACTGCCAACCGTTTACCTGGATCCTTGGTCAAGCTGTGCTCAGGCGACGACTCGGAGGCTAACAGCCACTCGGACATGCCCTTGTGCCTTGGACGCTTCGCAGCTGCCTTTTTGTCCCCATCGACCGTTCATTATTGTATGTACATACATACTTAAGTAATTATGTAGATAGAGTCTGGACATGCCACAGCCCGGGTCCCACGCGTATTAATTCCCACCCTTCGTCTTGTATCATTTCTTTTTGTCATTGGGACCATTCCCTCCCCTTGCTTCATACCCGAGTCAATGTGTTCGACGGCGACGCCGGTCCTCTGTCAAGAAGCCCCATACGCACGAAATATTCGTCCCGCCGTGGATACCTCGCAACCTGCTCCGTACCAGCCAAGGCTTCTTCTCCAGGTAGCCAGTATTCATGCTTAGCTCCTGATTGCCGACCAGTGACATAAATATGGCCTGGCATTCGTGCACCATCAACACCAAGCCCTGCGACCCACTCTGAGTGTCATGACCTTCCTCAGAGCCGTCCCAGCGCGTGGACCAGGGATGGATCTCAGGCACTAGGTATCCCATTGAGTGTGCGAAGGTGCAGCTTTTGTAGCGGACCGGGATGTGGGCCAATGAGAAGGCAATTATTAAAAGATACTTATCTTTCCTAATAAATAATACAAGAATAAGTACTAGTTATCTATAAATATACATAAAGATATATTATGATACTATAATAAAATCTAATACTAATAAAAGTATTTAAATGTATCGCAAGAAAGTGGGACCGCTACATAACCTGCCCCTTCGCACACTCATGGGATGGAGTACCCGGTTGCTTATCTAAGTACGGAGTATACGGAGTTAATAATTATTTGCCTAGAATTCTCCGCATGTACGCCAGGTAAAACAAGGCCCTTTACTCCTAGCTCTTTTCGAGCCCCGAAGACAAGATTCAATGGTCCGACGATACGCCAAAAGCAGGCCTCGCAACCATCCATCATGCCGTGTCTGATGCAGTGGTGCCTCTCCTTTGGCTCCTAGTGCTACATGTACCTGTGCAAGTTTGCCTGCAATACCGCCCGCCGGCTGTTGGAGGCTGAAGGACTCATTGAGTGCCATGTACGGAGTATATCTGTCTCCACCGATTCCATGGTCACGCCAACCAGCCGGACACGAAGCCGGGTCACCTAGCCACCAAAGGCCATGCAAGACGTCAGTCCCCGGCCCACATGGACTCCGCACAGTAGTATTGATCCTAGAGGGTGAGGTGACAAGGGAATGCCATGAGTTATCGAGTTATGTTGGTCAAGGTCAGGGCGAAGCATTGGCGAATTCTACCAAATATCCCGTGCTCTGCTACGATATGAATCGTCCCAACGCTTGATCTAGTGCCATGCCGATCAGATTTGATCTGCTAGCGCTCGTCTTGTCGATCTGGAACGATGGTCAAAGCCATAGGGAGCCAGGGACCAAGAGTTGAGCCTTGCGCCATACCTGTCTGTGATCGGCCAGAGCGAGCGAGGGAGCAGCCTGCCGCGGTTGATCAGTGGTCCGCCAAGCTCGAGGCGCCGCCAGATGCGATTCATACTACCAGACAAGTACGGAGCAGTACTAGTATCCCCCAGATGTCGTGTGCTCCCTGGCCGCATTTTGAAGCCGTCCCAGGTTACTGGCCCATCGAGCGGCTTTCACGGACTTCGCCTGTCCATGGGGCAAATCCCTATCGCAACACTCCTGCGGGAAGAATACTGCTAGTAGTACGGAGTACTATTCGTTCCCTAGCTCGAATGCATCACGTCATGTTGGCAGAGCGATATACAGTTTAGCTTGTTGCGGCGGCTTTGCGTGCCACGACTCACGGATTGAATTTTCAACATTCTTCTCCAACTGGGTTCGGTATAACTCAGCCGTAGTCGCCAAGGCTAATTTGTACGACTGATACGTGTCTCATAGTGTCCCCATGCCATGTTTCCATGTTGAGAAGCAAGAGGTTCCTTGAAACGAACGCAACCTGAATCGTTGTTCCTTGCCATGGTCGTGTACCCATGGACATGCGACGGTGCCACACCTCAAAACCAATTAGAGAGGGATGTCATAATATCGGCCGTTATCGCGTTGGTGGTGGTCTCCCACGCCCAGGTTATTAACCGTCAAGTCCTTCTCGCTAGCTCCCAGCTCCCTGTTCTAGGCCCCTGTCCTTGCAAGTGGCTTCAATGTTGCGGAGAAAGCATCGCCGCCCCCATCCTCATGGCTAAGTGGCCTCGGCAAGGACGAGCGATGAGGATAGGACCACAGTGAGATGCATCAACAACGGTTTCGCCAACTGCTCCATGGGCGTGCATCGGCACGCATACAAACACGAAAGACGGCGGTGCCGCTTAACCATGTTTAGACAATCCGATGCGAGCTGCTCGAAGCTGCTACACAGCCCGGCCTGGAAAGATGTGTGTGAAAATTCGAGTTCCCTGTCGAGAAAGCCTTGATGTGACGCACATGAGCCAGGAACAACCACCCAGCTGGAATTAAACCTCTGTCAATCAGATGGAGCCCAATGGTGGACCGCTGGCCCAACCGCGGAAGAATGCACATCTCGCCTTGAGCCTGTTGAGAGCAGCAAGGGAATATTGTCGTAGCAGCTCATCTTGGAATCAGTGGCATGACTTCTACCGGAGTGGGACGAGAAAGATCAATAGATAGATTTTGGCGACTCGAAGGAATATCCGGCTGCTGTGGATGAATCCTGAGAACCCCACGACGTTGACAAAAGTTCTTAAAGTTGCAGTGTTTTGTTGACAAAGTACACATGTACAATGTCTGGTCCCTTCAAACCGCCACAGCCGGCTGGCAGACTCAATGGAAGCTTGGAACAGGTTGGTCAGTAATACCTTTGCCGCTTCTGTTGTACAGACAGAAGATGAATTGGAAGGATCCAATCGGAAATGCAGGGCGACCCCTAACGCAAGCCGACACAAGCAGGGGGAGGCAAGAAGTTTTTGGCCAGACCAGAACCTGGCCATCGTGGTTTTATACTATAATACTCGACGCTACAGGATGAGCAATACTTGTTAATTTGTAGACAAATACATAAAGTATGTATATTCTCATCAGACCAGCTCCGTACTCTGCATAGAGCCCTGGCTTTGGCTTTAGTTAGCCTTTGTGCCAATTTTGTGCAACCCAACGAATTCCAAGCGCCGTTGTTGCGAAGCTGGGTACAGGTCAGAACCTTATCATGCCAACTCCCAGAATTCCATCCTGGTCAATGCACGTCATAAAGCACGTTAATCGAAGATTATAGCAGCGTACCCTGTTGACCTCCCATTCATTTTATTATTTCGTGTGAATTGGAATGGTTGGTGGCATCTGACGTCTCTTGACGAAGTTGCGTAAAGGCACAAAGAGATAAGCGACTGCGGTTATGGTAAGCATAAAGTTATGAACAAATATAACGTCCGGTACCTTGGTAGTGAAGCAAATCTTGCTTACTTGGCATGGATCCGGCGCTTCGCTAAACAAAACTTTTTTTTCTCTGCTTTTGCCAAAAGCTAAGAAAAAACAACGCCACAGTTACTCCGACGTGGTTTGTAGTTTTCTCATCTCGGCCACTGCGCTAATATCCGGTGCGTCAGCAAGGATCAGTTGCTTTTTCATGGCATGCATGCCAGCGGCATTTATATGTATGTATGATTTTTTTTGCAAGTCCATTAGTAGCGCCCGGGGTAACCCTGCCGTCGGAAACAGCAGCACATATTACCCGAAATAAGCGTCCCAGGGGGCTGGCTATCCCTCCAGCCTCTCAATGCAACACGTACATACAGTTTACAGTACATATACTAACTGCCGGCAGGCGGAATGTGGTGGTATCCTCCGTTAACGGTGTGGGATCCCATATCAGGGCACTGCTTTCCGACTATGAATCATGACCGCTGTCAAATGCCAACCTACCAGACATTCCGCAGGGGAATATATTCGCCTATTGAGAAGTACTTACATGTACCCTCATACGGCAGTGTTACTTCTCGTCTCCTACTGGGCCTGCAGGCTACCACCCAGGGATCTATCTAATAATAAACATGAGCACCAGGCCTGTTTCTCTTGCTCTTCCATGCCTTTTACCACGCAATCGTGCTGTGCGAGTACGGAGCACCGCGTCCGGGCCTCGACAGGACCTAAGAGATTCGGCCAATCGCAGCATGTCCCAGCTACCAGGTCGTTTGTGGCGTGCATATGCAGATATACATAGTTTTG